GTTTTACAGTTTCAAGTGCTAGGATCTAAAAAAAAAAAAAAAATTCTTTGCTATCTTAACAGTTGTGTCAAATTGTATTCCAATTTACAGAGGAAGAAAATCAAGGACCAAAGGAAAGAATTTAACTCGCTCAACCTGGTGCAGCAGGTATGATTCTTAGAAACTAGGTCTCCTGCCTCCCAGGCCAATCCCATTTGCTAAGTGAAAGGCCACAAGCAAAAGTAATTCTTATCACCTAAGGATGTAAGGGCATGCATACCTTTTCTTCCCAAAGGTCATCCATTTGTGTTTCTGCCAGTCTCTCATGGTAGCCAAATACTTATATTTAGATAACAGCCTTTGATCAACTTCTATACTAGATATCCAAATATATTGGCATTACTGGGGGGTGAAATGCACCCCAATAATAAGCCTATATTCCCAAGTTTGGTGAAATAAAGCAGCTCGGAGGTTTAGTACCTAGGATAAGATTGTAATGGCTCAAAGTTACAACACTCCACCCCCTTCCCCTTCTCTACCTCCTTTCCCTAACAGGAGAAAGGATGTGAGAAAAATCAGCAAGCATCTGACGATGACCTAACTACACTCTCACCCATCCATCTGCTCAGCAGACTTCATGGCAAGAGTTCTCCTTGGAAGTAGTTAAAAGGGAACAACACCTTGCAGAGGGAAATAAATGCTAAAACTTGACTTCCCTTGTCCTTTCACAAGTAATTACATTTGGGGGTATATGCACTGCACTGACAGATTGTTTCTTTCCTACGATTTGGAAATCCTAAATTCCCAACCAAGGTAGTTCAAGCCTACCTTGATAGAAAAAACTGAAGAGCACACTTGGACCAAATCACTATTTAACGCCATGCCTGAAAAATGAAAGAGCATAGTGAAGATGCCAAAATGTCTGACCTTGAATGTGAAACATCAAGCGCACCTCACAGCAGTCACTTCTAAGACATTTTTGCCAATTTTATACAGTTTGAAACTGGCATTTATTAGATTTAGAGATTTTTTTTTTTTTAAACAGTTTTACTGCTAGCTCCAAGTATTTTTTTTTCCTTCCTAGGTCAAGGGCCCCAGAAGTATAATAGAATATAGGGTGAGGGGCCGGGGGGGGGGTTGGGGGGGCTTAGAGATACAAATGTGGGTAAAAATCCTAGATCAATTATTCAATAACTGCATGACTTTAGGCAACTTAGGTAATTCTATTTCCTAGAATTAATGTGAGGATTAAATGAATATGTAAGCATAGGGTGTACTCAGAGCAGGTACTCAAAATGTTTCCACTTCTTCCTAAAGCAGAAGAACTACATTCAACCTCAGGGCAAGGAGGGGGGGAAAAAAAAAAACCTGGAAAGGAATGGACTCAAATTAATCACACACCAAAGTAGTTCCCAGTACCAAACATACAATAATACTGCCCTAAACCATCACTTTTTAAGAGGTCCTAAATCAGTTTGTAGGGCAGCACATCTGATGTCCCACAGATACACCAGCTAAGACGGAGGGTTTAAAATTATCCTTTCCTCTGACATTTACAGAAAGCATCCTTAGGACAGCTCCTTGACAAAGGCATTGGGGGACTTAACGGTTTTGTTGTAATGATTTCAAGCCAAAAATTAGCGAATGGTATGGAAGGTCTAATGTAGAAAGAGGTATTCTTGGGCACAGACCATCAGCGGTTCACCCCACCCCAAAATAAACTTCAGAGCATCATCTTTGAAAATAAAGGACACAGGAGTGTGTGTGTGCACGCATATGTGTATTCCCAACATTTAGGCAATGTTTAATACAATAAAGAGCCACATAGATAATGATAGATGTGTAGGACCCCCCCAAAAAATATGTACACGCCAATATTACCTGTAAAATATGTGACATGTATACACCCTAAAGGAATAAAACTAGATGAGTGAATTTATAATTTATGAAATACTTCCATCAAACAGTGTAACAAAAACATCACACACGTGCGCACAAAGGCGTATCACCTTACAGCTGAAAGGTAGGTACAAGGACGCAAATAGTTAAATGTATACAAGGAGTCAGTAGTGTTTTCCCATATATATGTTTTATAACTATTTTAACAATACTGAAGACAAGTTTAAGAAGAGGGAGGCTCTCCTTAGGAAGATTAAGCTCCTAAGATTTGGAACCAATTTGCACTAGGCTTTCATCGCAGAACTTCAATAATTTAAATCTACTTAAAAACAATTTTTCCTATTAAAAAAAAATCACTACTTTTAAAGCTTACCCTTCCATTGATCTTAATTCTGCAATCTTTTATTCTCTCCTTTCCATTCACACCAATTAATTTTTTAGATTTATATAATTTAGATTGATGAAGGGGTAGGTGGACAGTCATTGAGAAGGTCTGGTCTGGAGATTTTCCAGAAATAGGTGGACTTCTGTCATTTTAATGTTTATTTACTCTTCCCCAATGCTTTAAATATTCTAGAGCTTGAGGATGGAATTGTTTTCCATGCCTGAAATGTCTTATTAATTATTGATGTAAGCCATACTTACAATGAGGTGCCTGTACTTTCCTGTACAGTATTACTATCTTGTTTTCCTCCCAAAACAGATATATATGATCTTTATCGTGTCTGAAAATAAAGCTAGCATCAACAATGCCAACATGATTTCCTTTGCCCCCGGGTAAAGAATTTCTCTACATATATACTTAAAAACTTGCCACCTAAAATTTGTCCTTCTAGCTTGATCTCTAGATTTAAATGGTTTGAGTTGATTTCTTAAGCAATTCATGAAGAAAAGCAAAGTTGAGAGCATCACGTGTACAACTCCAGGAAAAAAAAAAACTGACCTTAAGAGGAATCACCTTCCCTCTAGGCTTCTATCAGCCCATAAAGAGGACTCCTTTTAACTCCCCTTGTAGGTTTCCAAATAGCAGGTGGAGCTGACTAGGGAGCGTTACAGTAAACACCACATCAATGTCCAAGTGCATCACTAACAAGAGGGACCCCAAGCTGAGACTTTCCCAAAAGCTTTGTTTCTATTCAAAAAAGTTCAGCCTGATATTTTTTGTTCTTGTTTTGTTTATTTTGAGAAGCTCAGAGTATTATAAACAAGAAAAGTACCACATCCAGTAATTCTGTGTGACACACAGTAGAGAAGTAACCGCAACAACCAACCACTGCCCCAAGGAGCTTGTGATGTAGAATCATAAACGTCTACATACTAAATTTGTGACTGCTAGAGTTAATAGTAACACAAATCCACTATGGTAATGAAACATTCTTCTAAAGATCAATTCAGATCATGTGTTATTAATCAGCAGAGTAACTAAAAGCTCATGCAAAACACACTATCCCAATCTAGCAGAACTTAATTGCATTATTGTTATCTGGTTTTCCTGTGTCACTGGCCCTTCCATTTCAAGTACACACGTACACACATACACAAACACACACACCACCACAGGATGAAAAGACAGAAAACGCAGAGCTAGGAGGTAAGAACCATGTGTCTGGAAGGAAGAGGATTCTGAATAACAACGTTTGTCTCTGGAAAGACAGGTCAAGTATGCACCCAGGCTGCCTTGAGAAAGAATTAAGCTGATGCATTTCGTTTCAGTGTGTCCCATTTTGCACAACAGTGGGAGCAGCTGTGGGAGATCTTGCAAAGCAAGACAGGCAGCCTCCTCTATCTCCCCACAGCCACACCAGACCTTGGGGAGGGGGTGAAAAAAGCTTGTAGCCTCTGTTCTCCCTAAGAGCACAAAGCTAACCTGTCATCCAGGACACTACGCCCCCTCTCAAACCAGCCCTTTTTAAAGGCCTGAGAAGTGCAATTTAAATGTCCCAGTCTTCAGACTCAGGTCCGTTCCCAAAGTTGGGAGGTTACACAACAAAAATCCGCAGCAGACACAAAACTGGCTGCCTGGAGCACAAGTTTCTCTTGCTGCCTAACCGCGTAGAGTTAGAGATAACTAGCTAGGACAAGGTAGATGGACAAGTGTAAGGAATAGGAACGCATAGGATTTGCCAGTTTCCCTCCCAACATCCCTTGAAGGAGGCTGGGTCACTAAAAATCGGAAGTCTGGGGACCAGCTGCAATACAGACAGACTCTGGCTGGGTCGAGGGGGAGGCCGCCACACCCTCTTGAGCTCACAGCACTGTCAAGCTCTAATTGGGAGGAGCTCAGAAACTTAGTCCCAGCAGGAAAAGGGAGAAAGAAACGAGTCTTGAGTGTCTTGGATTTGAGAAGCTAAAAAGCTAAACGCAGATTTCGGGAGGGAGCCGGGGACTTGGCTGTGTGTGCTGGAGGAGGGAAGGGGTCGCCCCCGATGTCAGAACAGCTCGAAACACGTCCCCGCAAAACTGCACATTCTTGTGGTTTAAGATTTAAGACCGAAAGGAACGAGCTGAGGCAAAGCTTCTCTCCCGCCTCGGGTTCAGATGCCCCCCTCCCAGCTTAGGGACCGGGGCGCCGCACTGCCGCGGCTTTCCTTATCTTCCCCTTTCGGGCGAGCTCCCCTCCGCCAAGCCGCTACGTCCGCCTCCAAGTTCGCCTTCGCTCCCCGCCCGCTGCCAGCCACATGCACCCATCTGCCCGGGACCCCGCGCGCCGGATGGTCCGCAGGGACTCGGGATTTGCGGGGTTTTTGGTTTTTGTTTTTCTAAACAAAAAGCCTTAGCGGCTCGCCGCCCCCTTCTCCCGGGCCCGCGCCACCTTCCCTTCACGCCCACGCCGCACCTCCCGGGCACACGCGCTGCGAGGTGCTTCTCCCGCCAGACAATGGGCTCTGGGCTGGCCAGGCAGCCCGCCCCGAACCCCCGGCCCCATCCCGGGACCCCAAGAGGGCTGAGCGCGGGGGCTAGAGGGCAACGGAGAAGACTGAGGCTGCCGAGGCCACAAAGGGGAAGGTGGGCGCCTCCCCCTTGGGACAGGAGGCTCGCTCCCGGCGCGGGGAGAAGAGGAGGGGGCGGGGGTCAGCTGCGTCTCCCCGCCCGGAGCCCCGGGGCCCCCGCTGCGCACTCACCAGCACGATGGCAAATCGCTCCTCCAGTTCACCTGGCTCGGGCATCGGCAGCTTCAAAGGCACGTTGTGCGCCCTGAAATCGGTCTGCTGCGAATCCATGCTCCCCGCGTTGCCCATGTTGGCTGCACGCCGGGGCCGGGGGCTGCTCCGGGCCCCTCGCGTTCGCGTCGGAAATCAGAACAGCTCCCGGCGGCCGGCTCCCGCCCGCTGGCGCGACCTGCCCGGCTCCCGGCCCTCCGCTGCGCCTCGGCGAGTGTGCAGCGCGCACCGCTCCCTAGCAGCGCTCCTCGCCGAGCCGCCCCCCGGCCTCCCTCATGCTCTCCGCCGCCCCAGCGCCGTCCCGGCCTCTTTTTCTTGGGAGGGGTCGTCAGGGCGCTGGGCGCCTATCTGCATGTTGCTCCACTGGCACGCCGCCCTCTGCCAGCGATCGTGGCCAGCGGGCGCGTGGTTTTCCGAACTCGGTTTTGCGCCGGGCCGCGGCCGCCGCTGACACTTAACAGCCCCACGGCCGGCGCACACAACGCTCGTTCGGCGAGCACCTCGAGCAGACAAATGCAGCTCCGCGCTCCCGACACAATGCCCCCCCCGCCCGGCCCCCGCCCCCGCCCCCGCCCCGGCTCCGCCCGCTTGCCCCGTGGACTGCCGGGACGCGTAGTTTCTGTCCAAAGTGTCCGCACGCCGAATCCACGCCTGCTCTGGAGGAAAGAGCTGGGTCAAGACCGCTTGCTTCGGAGGCAATCTGTACGCTTCTGGCTATGGTTTATGACCCTTTAGAACTCCCTCACTCCAACAGTAGAAATCACTACCTCGTCTACGTCGGTTCTGACACTAATTAATTAGGCACACTTGACAAATGAATGGTCCAATCAATCGGTGATTGAATACCAGCATTCTGATTTAAATTTCAGAAGCTGGTTACCGTTCAAAAGGCTCTAGTTTAACAGGTGACCTGAAAGGCATTGGCAACGTCCTATTTCATGAACTGGGAAATGGGTCCGTGGGTGCTTGTTTCATTGTTCTTTCTTCCTTGTGTAACGTATTCTTTCGTGTGATTGAAATGTTTTATAAACAAATATACACTTCCATGGATTTTTTTAAATAAATATCCGCTATGGATATATGCATATATGGTCAGACCCAGGAGTTGAAGGAGGATTCAATTCAAAACAAACACCTGTCGATAGCTATTATGTATGGGTTACTGGGTTCCTTAGTGGGAGGAGGATTGCTCCTGCTCTGGAATACTTCACAGTCTAGTGAAGGAGAAAATTTACACAAATAAGCGTATTTCATGTGAGATAGAAGAACAGGGTGTTTGAGAAGGCTTTGAAGATGATCTTTGGCTATAGCTATCTTATTCCTCCATAACAGTCTCAGGTGTTTTACAAAGAAGATTGGGCCCAACCTTATCTCTGGGATGCTTTCCAGACGATTACTACCCATTTTAAAACAGTGGAAATAGAAACAACCTTATAAACAACTTTAGCCAGGTGCTCATGTTGTAGATTTCAAGGGCATCCACCTGGTTGACTTGTGACTGAACTCACAAGTCATCCTTTCTTAGCTTAGAGCATTTCTTTATTCCTGGTTTGTGTATCAGATTCACTTGGGAGCTTGTTGTTAAAACTCCACACACCTTGGGCACTGCCTATTATCAGAATTTCCCTGAGCCAAGAGTTGGAGCATGGGCAGGTGTATTTTTAACAAGCTCCCCAGGTTATTCTGATATACAACCAGGGCTGTTACTCTCTTGTTAAAAAGCAACTGCTTCCGGCGCCTGGGTGGCTCAGTTGGTTAAGCAACTGCCTTCGGCTCAGGTCATGATCCTGGAGTCCCAGGATCGAGTCCCACGTCGGGCTCCCTGCTCAGCAGGGAGTCTGCCTCTCTCTCTGACCCTCCCCCGTCTCATGCTCTCTATCTCTCATTCTCTCTCTCAAATAAATAAAATCTTTAAAAAAAAAAAAAAAGCAACTGCTTCTGGAGAAGGTAACACAAGACTAAACATCAAGGGCCACATTTCATTCAGCTCTATAAGCCCCAAGATGCCTTGAGCATAGTAGATGTTCAATGACTACTTGTTGAATTGACAAGTGAGTTTTACCAAAAGCCTATGGAGCAAATACACAGATACATCGTGTCGGTATCATCTATTAAATAAAGCACTTCTGGTCTTTTTTTTAAAAAAGTATAAATAAATTCAAATTAAAAGTCTGAATAAATGCAATCTGTATTCCAAAACTACACTGTATCAAAGTTAACAATGTTACCCATCAAAGAAAGAAAAACAGAGATATAGATACATACACACACCCCAACTAGTGAAAATGAGTGAGAAAGAAAAGCAGTTAATTCAAACCAAGTGAGACATTTCTGACCCACAAATGTATTTGTTTTCTTCCAATCTCTAGACATATACTTTGGTCTGATTGACACAAAATCAGCCCACCCAGGGGGTTGCCCATCTGGATGGAAATGCTAGAATTCTTTTCTGCAGTTGAGAAATCCTTTTTATTACATTTATGGTTCCCTCTGGCCATATTTCTGCCAGTAACCAGGACCTTTTTCTCCCCTTAAGTTTTATCACATCTAGTCTCTCTCATAATCTCACACTTTGAGAAGAGCCAAGGACATAGTGTGCAAATCCATGAACCAAAAGAACTCAGCCATTTCAAGGTTTGCAATCTTTGATATTTGGTTATTATTTATGGGGGTATTTAGTACAAAAATCAACAAAACACTCCATTATATTACAGGACTTCTGTAAGAATTTCTATCAAAAATCTCAAGAAAATATTTGTTTGGGGTATGGCGTGGAGAGGGAGGAAGAAGACATTAATCGTAACACTCATATCCTCCCCATAAAATCAAAATCAGGTGATCACTTTTAAATATGAATTTCATTTTCTAATTACTCATACATATGACTTATTATAGCTGATGCTGCAAAAAAAATGGCAAAAAAATAAACTGTTAAAACAATCCATTCACCTTCCATGCAAACTGAAATGTTAGACCTTTATATTCTGTGTACTAGGCATTTGCAAGTTATGCCAAGGATGGCTTGATAGGAATTCCCCCATAACAGTGCAATTGCTTTCCAAAAGCTCTTCCATCATTCAAAACAAATACTCCTAACACGTCAGCTGAGTTTCATTGGTATCTCCTTAAGTTTTAAAGGTAAGGAAGTGCTCTATAGCTAAGTTCACTTAGCTTCTTAAAAAAGCACTTGTGCAACCCCAGGGAAGATTCTCTTTGTGTGTATAATTATAAGAAATGAGATAAGCACCCTATGATGAGCAAAGCCATATATAGCTCTGAATCAAACTGGGAACTTGTAGTATCTGAGATTTTAGAGGGATTGCTTTATGTCAAGTCACATCTACAAGAGTCCTGAAAGATTCGTATGTCTAGCCATATTTATTTTTTAAATATTTATTGAGCACTTACTGTGAGCCAGTTACTGCTATTGATTTTAAACAAAGTTTAAACATAGTTTATTCAATTTCTAAACCCAAGTAATAATGGCTTCAATAATATATTTTCTCATTAAACAAAAAATCTGGAGAAAGGTGGATGCTAGTGTTGGTTCAGCAACTTCGTACGGCTAGGACCAGTATCTATGTGATGGGTTGGTCTTTCCACATACTTACAAAATAGCTACTAGAGTGTCATGAATCAAGTATGTGTTGGGGCAAATAATGGGGAAGAGCCAATTTCAGTTAAGTCTGTTTCTCTTGTCAGAAAATCAAAAGTTTGTCCAGAAATACCATTAGCAGACTACTGTCCATTATTCCTCATTTTCTAGAACTGAATGACACGGCCATCCCCCGTTACAGAAATAACTGGGGGCTGGGGCTGGACACATTTCCTCACCTGGATAGAATCAAGATTCGGATAAAAGGTAAAGAGGATAGACATGGGTAAGAAATGGGTAGACAGAAACATCTTCTAACCCCTCCCCCACACATTTCATATCTTCGAATAATACTTTACATTTGCCTTCATATTTTACAAAATACTTTTACTTGCTTTATCTTATTTCATCCTGTCAATACAACAACAAGGAATTTAGACCTCAACAGAGTGATTTTTCTCTAGTTTATACAACAAGTGATAAAGTTACAGCTTAGGTATTTTGATTCCCAAACCAGTATCCTTCACTGCATTAAAAAAAAAAAAATAGTTCTCTAAAATTATCATTCAGAGGTAGAAGCATAATGAGATTTCTGCTTCTGATCAAGATAGAGTAATAGGGACCAGACTGAATTTGAAAGTAATAACATACTGGACAAAATATATTAAAGAATGTCCCTCAAGAGTTATGTGATGTCAAAAGAAGGACAGAGTGTTTGGGGAGGCTTCAGAGATGATCTTGGTCTGTAACTATCTTATTCCTCCATAACAGATTTGTTTCAGGAGTTTTACAAAGAAGATTGGGCCCAACCCTATCCTCTTGGGAGGCAGTGAAGAACAATGATCCCTGAGAGATAAGGAATAAATTAACTGAACGCTACTATCACCCCACCTTACTGCCTGGAGAAAGTTTCTAGACCGCCGTGCACAGAGAAGGAACCCCGACTGGGCCTACTGGTATCCCTGACTTGAGAAGGCAGAGGTGAGAGTCCAGTGAAGCCAAACAGGCCAGAGTTCTCAGCACAGAATACTGGGGAAAAAAGAGCTGTTAAGAACTTCAGATGCCTGAAGAGGTTCCCATTCAGTATTCAGTTGAGTACTTATTAGTAAGTGGTGAGGAAAAAACTCAAGGCTGGTCATTTTATAATAAATGACTGAACTCATCAAGAGAACATGACACCCAATAACAGTGCTTCAAAATACATGAACTTCAAGGAGAAATACACAAATCCACAATTACAGTTATAGTTAAACACTCCTCTCTTAATATTTGTTAAAACAAATAGAAAATCGGTAAGGGTATAGAAAACTTTAAAAATACTATCAACAATTTGATCTAATTGATATTTATAAACTACCTCACTCAACAACACAATACATAACTTTTCAAATGCACAAGGCATATTTACCAGATGGACCAATTCTGAACTATAGAAATTCTCAATAAATGGTCAATAAATATTAAAAGATCCCAATATTATAAATTTTATCTCCTTGCCACAATGAAATTAAATTAGAAGTCAAGAACACAAAAATATCTGAAAAATCCTCAAATATTTAGAAAAAAAGATAAACTTCTGAAAAACCATGGATCAATTAAAAGATAAAAGGGAAAATTATAACATATTCTGAACTGAATAAAAGAGAAAACACCATATATTAAAATTTTGTGGATGCCACGAAAACAGTACTTAGAAATTTAGACCAGCAAATGCCTCTATTAGAAAGGAATAAGGGGGGGCGCCTGGGTGGCTCAGTCGTTAAGCATCTGCCTTCGGCTCAGGTCATGATCCCAGGGTCCTGGGATCGAGCCCCGCATCGGGCTCCCTGCTCCGCGGGAAGCCTGCTTCTCCCTCTCCCATTCCCCCTGCTTGTGTTCCCTTTCTCACTGTGTCTCTCTGTCAA